ATTCAGAGGTTAAACAAATCCTGAAAGTTATGAAAAATTTCGTTCCGGGGGAAAATATTCCAGGCTGAAGGGGGGAGGGGGGTAGATTTCTTATAAGACTCGGTTATCTTAATGATTCAACCGAACCTTTCCCATCAAACCCTATGATACCCGATTTTTTTTCCTATACGCAAAGACCCAAGTCGGGTTAAAGTGACCTATATTTAAAATACCTCAATGTCCACAGTTTTTGGAATGTTATCTATGTTTTTGTTATCTATGTTTGTTATCTATGTTATATTTGTTCTTTAATTTTATTTTTTTTGGGTAAGAAACTGTCGATTTCTCACCCTCACTCTTCATCCGTTGCATATAGCTCCCCCCAACAAGAAAATCGGGTCAACATGAAAGTCTTAGGACATCTAGGCTAGGGATACCTAGTCACTTCAAGTCTATTTATCTGTTGTTGCAAGTTGGCAACAGCGCTGAGGATTTAGATTTTAAATTGTTTTCATCGCAGCTGATGTATTTGACTGTAAGTTCTGTGTTATCTTCCAATTAATCTATAAGCCCGAGAGATTTTCTCGAGGAATTCAAAATTATGTGGAAGCCGCTGCGTAAAGAACTGAGACAGTTACAACTTCCTGCGTTATTATAGAAAGAAAGGAGAAATAAATATGAGACACCTTGCCGCATACTTTGAGTGATCAAATAAAAAAAAATGGTCGACCATTTGAAGAAGATCGACGTTATATTGATGAGCAAAGAATGAATCTTGATCTTTAAGAGAAAGCTCTCCGGGACTGCCGCCTCACGGAAAAAATAGATTGCTGATTAAGTTGTTAAAAAATATGTCCAACATGTTTTAAATGTTCGTTTTACAATAGTGGAAACCTAATATAACTACGAAGGTGGTTAAATTAGCAACTTTTTATCGTAAAATCTAGATTGAAACATGTCCGACACTTTTTTTGACTACAAACTTGTTGAATCAGCAATTTTATTTTTATTCGTGCTCAATCAATGAAATACACTTAGAAAGGATGTCTCAAATATGGATAAAATATGGAAATATAGAACCAGTTGTAGGAGTCATGATGATGGAGAGGAAGGGGATTAAGAGAGAAAAACTGAATTGGAAAGTCTTCAATAAGTTTATGTCGGAAAATAATATTTTGGCACTCGAATTCACTGTTCGGCTCTGTTTGAATCGTGCGCACACGGAGAATGTGCGCTGCAATTGCATACGTTATTGGTTGAAGGGGATTTTAGCGGGAGATGATAATGATAATGCGAGTTGTGATTGGTATTAGGATGTGAGTTAGCATTACAAATACGAAACTTTTTAATTGTAGAGAATCATGATTTTCTAAGTGGCCACACTCTTTTGTTACACTTCAAATCGAAAAAAAAAAAATATAAATTGGAAAATAAATTATCAAACCTTTCAAACTTGACCAAATCTCGACCAGAGCAATAGCTGTAATATTTTTCTTCACATAAACACCAAGATACTGCACTACGGTTGAAATGATTATTTGAAGAAGGAAACGGTAATAATAAAAAAAGAGAATCAAGGTTAGCTTGAGAATCTCATTAAAATGAGCACATAATTTTATGAACTTATTTTCAAAATTTTGAATTCATAGCCACCGTTTTGACCATTTTTCGAAGGTAAACGCGTCTTGGCCAAAGCAACTCATATTTTTACAAATTATTATTTTTTCTTTTTCCCCTCTTATTATTTTGGGAAACTTTGAACTGCATTTTGTTTCTGTTTGTTTGTTTGTTTGTTTGTTTTGTTTTTCGAACTCATGCGGCATGAGCAGACGTATCCAATCTGAACTGGGAAGGGGGTGAGGGTCTCCAACCAGTAACATACTGGTTGG